ACATGGAAGTACTGGTACAGGTAGGCATTATAAACATTGTTCTTTTTTTTTTGTAAGAGTTCATTTATTGTTTTGTACATGGATTGAATGCATATGTAGGTTGATCTTTTCTTAATGTTGTTAATCTAAACACAATAGCTCATAAAATTGTTCGCTAAAGTTTATTTTCATTTTTTTTCTAAGAAGAGGGTATTTGAAAAATTCTAAACTAATATTTTCAGCTACTAGAATTTGCTAATCGAATTCTGTTTGAATTGTACAGAATGAATTATTTTTTAATGCTCTGTCTGATTTTTTCTGTTAGAGGAGATCATTCTTGTGTCTTCCATAAAGATTAATGGATCACTGTGAAAAGATTGCACAGATGAAAACGATATTTTCTATGTAGATTCTTATAAGTGATTAGGGTAGTGAAAAAAACTTGAAAATACATCTGGATAAATAATTTTGAAAGCTTTTCTTCAGTTAGTTCTTGTTGTTCTTTTACCTTTTGAATGGTTTTGTTATGAATTAAACAAAACCTATATAAACGATATAAAAACAAAAAAGATTTGGTTATAGAAAATGTAGATTACCAGTGCTATTAAATATAAGAGTTGAAAACAAGGTGATCGATTTTCTTATCTATTTATGGATCAATTCGTGATTATCGTTTGGTTTTGTGTTTTTTTTTTTTTTACAAATTATGTGTTTCTAACTATCAGCGATCTCTGCATTGGCTTTAATAGGCATTTTTACGTATTGTTAAAGTTCAGTAAAGTATGAATTGATAAACATTGTAGTTAATATTGAATTTACTAATAGTTGAAAATTCTTATGATTTTATCAATATTTTTTTAATTATTTTTCACATAGGAAAGAATTTCGTTGCTAAACATATTGTTGAAAGTCTTTATCGGAATGGTTATAAAAGTAAATATGCTCGACTCTATGTTGCTTCACGTGATTTTATGCATCATGATGAAGAACATCTTCAACAGTATAAGGTATGTTAATAATGTAAACTTAATTAGATGAAACCCATTGACCTATCATAGTATTTTTGTTTTTTATATACACATTTTTTTTGTATATAGGACCGTATAAAACACGACATTGAAAGAGCAACAAGTGGTTGTCAATATGCAACATTTGTTTTTGATGAGGTTGATAAAATGCCTATGAAATTACTCGAAACTATATTATTTTATATTGACTTTCATTCTCCTACTTATGCACAACCTATTGATTTTCGTAAAACAATATTTATATTTTTAAGGTAAAATGCTACATATTTAAAAATCGATAGAAAAAAAAAGTCAATTGCAATATTTTTACATAGTTCGATAGAGCATAACGAGATCTATTAGAATATATCTATCAAAAAATTCTTAAGAAATAATAAAAAGGGTGTTTCAAGATCGGTAAGATTAGATGTGGAGGAGTCGATGACTCGAAAGACCGAATATTGTTTAAACTGAATTATTTCGTAGTTGCATTTCTGAAGGATATCTAATCTTTCATAAATGATATGGTTTTTTTATTTGACAATTTGCTTTTTCCAAAAATTTTTCTGCTCGGATAATATGGTTTTTTTTTCGTCTAAAAGAGCATATCTAAATTCGTTAGTTGAATGAAGCTTTGTTACTAATTTTTGAAACATGAATCCTATCTTCCATTAGAAAGTAAGAATTTACAAATTAGATGGAATACAACAATCTTCTTATGATTATCGACAGCAGTTATATTGTGTTTCACATATTAATCATGCAATGTTTGTACTAACAGCTTTTTTTACGATCAGTTTTATCCTATAGTCTTATACGAGGTGAATTTTGATAGAAAGTATTTTTTTTCTAATAATATACATATATGCTATTGTATGAAGGATCTTAAAAGTCGTATAATTTTTGCATGAAAAGCAACCCCTTTCATAGTCAAAAATTTCGTTTATGATCATAGTTTTTGACAGTGATATGAATGAAACTGGTTATTTACAACGTCACTCAAGTGTAACATTCAAAGGATCAAACAATTGTAGTTATGTTGACCTCATACAAAGGAAGAAAAAACATCTGTTCTTTCAATGATATTCCTTATAAATTTTTTTTTTTATTCTTATAGATCTTATCGAACTATGTAAAAATATCATTATTGATTTTTCTTTGATCAATTTAAAACTAACTAATTACTTGAAAAAAATAAAATCTTCATTTTAGTAATTTGAATTTATTCTTTAGTAATACAGGTGGCAAAGATATTAATGTTATTGCTCAGAATAATCATTTTGCTTCTATACAACGTAAAGATTATAATATAACTGAATTTCAACGAGCTCTTGCAAATGCTGCATTTAGTGAACCAGGTTTTTTTTTATTTTTATTTTGTTTTTGCATAAAATTTTCTTTCTTTTTGTTTTTATATGAAAGGTGGATTATGGCATGCATCATTAATTAATCGACATTTGGTGACTTTTTTTGTACCATTTCTTCCACTTGAACGTACTCATATTCGTACATGTATTCAACGACAACTTCAATTAGCATATAAAAAAGATGAATATGAATATACATTGTCTGATAATGATATTATTGATCATGTTCTTGATTTAATTGAATTTGCACCACCAGATTCTTTACTTTATTCTGTCTCAGGATGTAAAAAAGTTCAACAAAAACTTGATTTTATATTAGAAAGTCATCGGATGATAAAACCAAAGAAATCTATAGAAGAATTTTGAATGAATAAATGTTTATGAGTCGTTATTTGGCTGTGATTACATGTTATTATTTTTTTTTTTTGTCTGTGTTTCTCTACTTGTGATTTTTTTTGTATTTCAAACAATCACGCATCATTGCACAACGCTCTTCTTTTTTTTTTACTTTTCTATAGTTATTGCAGATTTTTTTTCTATTTTTCAGTATGAATAATATGAGTGTTAAACAACAACAGTTTGAATCATTGAACAGTGAAGTAAGTTTAGATTTTAAATATAAAATATAATGAAATAAAATTGTTCTTTTACTTTTTCTTTTTATATGTTTTGTATAGATACAAATTTTACAGAAAAAATTAGACAGTAAAACAAAAGCATTTGCAATCTTAATAAATGAACTTGAAACATTAAAACATGAACGTGATCAATTTAAATCACTTGTCGATAGT